ACATTATCGTGAGCAACAAACATTTTGTTTCTTCGCGATTGTAGGAATAATACCTCTAATTTAGAGTTTATTATGCCATATTTGTAAACGTTTTACATAGATTTCATATTCCCCCCATCCTGTTTAGAAAAGATAACTTTGGAACATTTTCAGTCCATGACATCTTTTCTACTGCTTTGGTTAAGTTTCTGTTTAGTCTATTCGCAATTGTTGTTGTTCTAATGCATATCCTCAAAACTATATTTGTAATTCATTAAATCTTGTATCGAACAATGGCAAGCAAAGTTTGATTCCTTCTTCATAAACATACACTTTAATTGTAATGTTTCTAGACTGTGAATTAATTCAACAATTTAGATGATCATTCCTTTTAAGTTAAATATTTATCACATTATGGTGTTAGATTGTTTATCTTAAACTGATTATACATTTAATTTTGGAATTTTGAACATTTCAATGATTCCAAGCTTTACTTCATTAAGTAATTATCGATATATTTACTTAAATCGTTAGTAAAAGCAATGAAGTAGTTAAATCTCTTTGCTAACTCTTGATCTTATTGGTTCACATACATCATGTGAATGAGTACCAAAAGGTCATTTTAGCTTCTTTTACCCTTTCTACTAAAAGGAAATTTGGTCATTTTAACTTTACTAAGCATGACTTCTAATTCTCAAGTGATTCATAATCATATAAGAATAAGAGTCCATCCATAACTTTGGATGTGCGAATGGTTAATGTGACCTAACCTTACTTGCTATAAGTAAGTGTATTTTGAATCATCTAAATTTACTTTTGTGATCTACTTATATCAATGTTATAAAACAAAATTAACTCATATCTAGCAAAATGAAAGCAATTTTATTACCTTGGTCATGGATCAACACTTGTCCAAGCCAAGTAAACCAAATTCAGTATTCAAAACAAGAAAACCGAAATATTGTCTCATCAAAACTAGAAATTTGTTCCAAAATCATGATAAACTAATCAAAATTTAAAATTATGAAGCTATCTCTGGCCACTCAAAAACTTCTAGTGCACCTTCAAGCTCCATTTCCTTGCTAGCTTCACTTGTTTGCAGTTCCTGCGCAACATCACAATGTTAAGAACTGCAACTTGGTATCACATACCTAAGTAAAAGTTAAAATGTTTATAACATAATACCTGAGGTTGATGCTCCGTTCTTCTTGAGGAAGTCGAGGTATTTCTGGCATTTTTTTCTTCCAAATCCCTATCTTCTTGTAGTAAAAGCATTCATTTCACTTGTAGCCTTGGGCTTTGGAGTCACCTTAGGCTTTTCAGGAGCCTTGGAAACTTGCTTGCCCTTTCTCTTAGCACTAGCCTTTTGCCCCTTCTTCTTGAACCCCTTTCCCTTTTGAATCTTAAGAACCTCCTTCTTAGGTTCCTTAGGGATTTGTTTCTTAGCACTAACTAGCATTGAATGCAATTGATTCATAGTCTTTGCAGTGGCAGTCATGTTAAAATTCATGATAAATAGGTTGAAACTTTCTGGTAATGAATGGAGAATGATGTCTATTGCCAAATCATCACTATATGGGTGCCCCAGTTTCTGCATACTTTGAATTAGGTCGATCATTTTGAAAACATGATCATGAACTGTGGCACCCTTCTCCATTCTACAATCAAGAATCTCACGATGGAGCTCATACCTTTCAACTCTACCTTGTTTCTTAAACAAAGCTTTGAGTTCTTGCATGATTAAGTAGGCATCTTGGTCTTCAAAACGCTTTTGAAGACTAGGTTCCATGGTAGCAATCATTAAGCAAGTGATAGGTATAGCTCTGTCATGAGCTTCCTTGTGCTTCTTGATCTCTGCCACAGTTGGATTTTCTGGCAGAGGTCTTGGCAATGGGGTGTCAATGACATCCTCTCTACCTTCATATTTCAAAACAGGCCTTAGCATTCTTTCCCAGTTGGAAAAGTTATCCCCTGTCAACCTATCCTTCTCAAGGAATGGTGGAAGATTGTAAACGTTGTTTTCATTGTGATTACGGCTACCCATCTATGTCAAAATAAGGCAAAGTTTAATAATTATGTTTAATTAAATAATTAAAGTACCATAAACGCATTCATTAGGTAACTTTAAAACACTGCATTCAATAATTAATTGATCCCTATTGAATTTTAAGTGACTCTAAGATTCTTTATTTGTGCAATAATTGACCGGACTGAGGCCCTACCATCAACCATTACATTTTCAAGGTGAGTAAACTCTTTACTGATTACAACTCTTGTAACTCTTGGTTGAATAATTAATAATCATACGTTTAATTATTACCCTTAGCTTCATGGTTCTAAACTCTTTAGGTAACCTTGTTGAGTATAACCAATTAAAATTGTAAAACGTGATTTACCCCAACTCCCCAAAGATATAATATGACACCCAGCTGAGGCATGACCCATCATAAATACCAAAGGTTTCATCGGGTTTTTAATTGGAAAATCCACCTCAATATTATCAGGACCTAGATTTATTATGTTGTGATTATTTAGTGAAATCTAGCGCATCATCTATCAACATAAATGAAATCTAATATGCATAATCTACTAATGCAATAAAATAAAGCATGACATAGTATGGCCCCTTAGTCCTAAGAAAACTAGAAATGAAAATGCTCCCACTTGAATCATTATGGATCTCCATCCACCTTGCTCCTTTGGGCCTTCACTTCATGGGCTTCTTTGAACTAACACTAATTACATAACTATTCTATTTACTTTAAATAAAAGTTACAAAAATACTTAACGGTACGCAGACCGTATTTGGATTACAAAAATACTTCACGATGCGCACATTGTATTTAAGAATCCATGGGCCATACTAGTCTATATATAGCAACATAATATCATATATTATAAAAGTGTCATATAATAAATCACTCAACATGCTTTTCTAAACTACAACATCGAATGTTCATAATAAAGTCAACACATTTCCTAAAATATCTCATATTTTAAATAATAATTAGATAATATCATGTATTATTCATGACCGTTTATAAAATATCATATATTTAATTTAGTCATGAGATAGAATCAAATCATATTTTATTCTAGAAAGATAAATCTTATTTAATCTTCCATGATTATCCTAACAGATTTAGGAGATTCTATCCTAATTACTAGCTAATCAAATAATTTTAAAATCAATTATATCCTAATCTAATTATGGGATAATCACATTATTTAAATAAATTATTTTCCTTTTGGAATATGCTCAGAATATCCTTATCAATGTTATCCAAAATTAACAACTTTAATTAGGATAATTACCAATTTAACAACTTTAAATATGCATAATATCAAATATAACAACTTTTGAATATTTGATTTTATCCTAAAATAAAGGATTTTATCCAAATAAAACCGATCTTATCTTTTAAAATAAAAGATCATATTTTTAAAATATTTTATCTTATCCAAAATAAATCATATTTATCTTGAAATATTTTTAAAATAAAATAATAATAATAAAAAATTGATAATAGCGCCAGCCACCATCACCGGCCACCGTGGTTGGCTAGCCGAAGCTAGCCACAATGGTTGAATGCCTTGACGGTAGCGACTGCCGCAAGGGCAGCAGCACGACAGCAGCACTTGTAGTCGTGGCAGTAGACGTGTAACGCTTGCACGCTACTGCCCACAACCACCATGGACCACCTGTCCACCCTTCCTCCTTCTCGGACTGCCACCTGGTCGACAGTCGCCGTGGCCGTGCCACCCAGCCGCGGTTGCCGACCTTAAATTGTTTTTTTTTTTTTTGTGTTTTAATTTAATTAAAATAACTTTTATTAAAATTAAATTAAATCCGTCTAAAAATTAAAATTAAATCAACATTCAATCTAAAAATTAGGGTTCATCATAAAATTTATCCCAATTTAATTCTAACTTTTAAAATTAAATTGATGAACATACACAAAACACTTTTATGCATAAATCAATCCGATTAAAATTATGAATTATAAAATAAATCGAATTAAATCAAAATCAAGAACAAAAATCATATTTTAAGGCTATAAATTTTGAAATATTTGAAATTATTAGGGTTAGGGTTTGAAAATTTCGAACATATTAGGGCTAAAATTCGGTCCTCTTCATGGCTATTTGAGCATAATTAAATCGCAATTAATTGATTCCAAAAGTTTAATCACATAAAAATAATTATTAAACCATAATTAAATAAATTTCTCCCTCTTAATTTGATTATAAAATTAACATGGACATCAAATAATCGTATTATTATGATCTAGCTCGTTCATGCAAGAGGCTAACTGATACCACTGTAGGAGTTTATAAGTACTACGCAGCGGAAAAAACCATGAATCATATTCATACAGCACCTAAACCAAGAATCGCATGCATAACACATAAGACACATAATCATACCTTTGATGCGTGAATTCCACGAAGCTATTCGACAGGCAAATCAGGGAGAGAATAAAGCCCCAAGCGTTGCTCCTCTACTTAGTCCACGAGATTCGAACGAGCTGTCCACCAATACTAGATTGGTCAAGTGACTGAGGAAAACCGCGATCACCACCTTTTCGGACAAGGACTTACCACCACGAATCACCACCACCACAAACCACCACAGGAGGCGCTGGGAAGGAGAGAGCCGTGAGAAGGAGGAAAGGAGAGTTTCAGAGGGCTAGGTCTCGTGTTTGCTAATTAGGGTTTGATCACACTGTTCAGTTAATTGCATACTAACAAACCCTAGGCACCTAGTCTAATTATAATCAATTAGACTAGGTTTAGGAAGCCCAAAACTCTCTTATCCACTCCATATGGTCAGCTACTATAGAGGATGAGGCCCACGATGGGCCTCGTCCTCTCATGCTCAATCTAGGCCCTTTGTGTGACCTTAAAGGATCCGTCCAATTGGGATTTGGCCTATTTTACTAGTTAAAAGATCGTTAGTACCTCTAGCTATGGCAAAATGACGACCCAAATGTACGAACTTAATTATCTCCATAATTTGATCCAATTATGTATCTAGTAATTGCACACGACGAAGACATAACTCCTTCAAGGCCATGTACTATAAGTCATGTTCATAAAACGATATGGATTAAACCCATCACTTGCAAGTCCTAATCGAACACTACGAGGATCTAAGGCAAAATCCTCATAACAGTGATCAAATGATTTCCAAGCTAATGCATCTGAAGGGTGCCTTAACATCTTCTTATCAACATCATTCAATTTATCATTATGAGTATAATGCCATCTCATATCTTCTGTTGTTTTTGAGGGCATGTAAATTCTCTTCAATCTAGGGATAAGAGGAAAGTAACGCATTACCTTAGCTGGCTCACCACTCGTAGAAATAGTCTTATCTTGATCTCTGAAATTATCATTTCTACCCTCATTTTTCTTCCATCTTGATGTACCACAAACATGACACTTTTCTTTCTTTGAAAAATCACCCCAATACAACATACAGTTATTTGGACAAGCATCAATCTTCTCATACCCAAGGACAAGGTCGTTTATTATTCTCTTACTTTGATAATAAGATGAGGGGAACTCAAGTATTTGGGGAAATGCGTCTATGAGAAGCTCGAGTAGCATATTAAAGGATTCAGCAGACCAATGGATCATACATTTTATGTGAAAAAGGTGTAAAAGAAAAGATAGTTTGGAAAATTTAGTACACCCGTCATACAATTTCTCATCGAAAACAGCAAGTAATTTCTTATACTTAGCTTCATCTTGCGTTGTTGAAAATTCTAAGTCAATCTCCTCTTCATAAAAGACAGGGTCTTCAAGATACTCGTCATTTTCATTATTTTCATGTGGTTCAAAGGTTAGGTCATTTGAGGGTTTTTCAAAACTAAAAGAAGATATTAATAGGCCTCCTATATCATCTCGAACTTCAAACCTTGTTTGATCCAGAGGGGATCCTTGACTAGTACGCCCTCCATCACACCCAATCATACGCTGAAGCAAATCCCCTTAACCATGAAAAATCCATTTCTTGTATGATTTATAAAACCCATAAAATAAGATCTGTCTTTCTTTATCATTTACACAAAGCCATTTATCCACTTTACATGTCTTACATGGACACCGAATCTTTCCTTCTACCTGAGCTACCTTAGCAAAGTTAATGAATTGCATACAACCTTTGACATATTGAGTGTGGCATCGTGGAAGTTCTATCCAACTTGTATCCATATCTATACATAATTAATACTTTAATAAGGGAACTATAATTTTGACCAAATAAATAGAAATTTTTAAAGCTTACTTATCAGAACAAATATCAATTTCTTCACAAACTAAAATACACAACAAAGCAGATTGTGGTAGCATACTTTTAGTTCATATATTCTTATCATAAAACTGAGGAAAGGACAATCATTATAGCCATGCAACAGGAATAAAATTTATAGGTATAGGATTTACTATATGAAATATGACCTATTGATGCAATTTTCATTGCATACTATTTAAACCTCACTATATAATAATAAAAAAAAAAATTAAAAAATCACCCACAATTATATAATTAAATCAAAGTAATCAAAGAGGATGAACTACTGGAGATACCAAATAGTTATAAGTCACTAAGTTGCTTTTTCAAAGTCATTACAAACCATACAAAAAAAATTACATGCTTACTTGGTATAGCATACAACAATCTTAAAGCTTATCTCAAAACTAAACTGTCATAACTTGAAATAGTAGCATATAAGATGTGAGTAATACCTTAGTATAGCTGTCTTCAAGAGTCTGCTAAACTAAGCAAGCAGTGACGAAAAGAATCCAAAAGGATGAATGCTGGAAAAAAAAATACAAGCAGTATCTACATATTAGATGATATATTATATAATATAAAGAATTATGTTTGAGTGACAAAATAAAAATTAAGGGGGGGAGAAAACTCAAAAGACACTTCAATTCAAAACAGTGATAACAAAAACAAATACGGTAACTCAATACTCAAATGCAAAGTTGACATGGGAGATAACATAGAAAAATACACATCAGTAGTGGAATCAAATTGGGAGAGTTTGAAGTTGTTAGAAAAATACTCATTGAACGAATTTACCGGGCATTTGATAAATTTGAAAAACATGAGATGCTGGTTCTTGTGGATTTTGTGTGGGCTGGGTGGGCTTTTCGCAATTCAATGGTGTTTGGTGAGACTTGGAGTAGTGAATTAGTAGGAGTTATGGGTTTTGTGAAACTTGTTCTCAATTTTAAAAAATATAATTCGAGAGTTTCCTCTGTTCCCGGCTTCCTGCTACCAAAGCTGTGATTTTTAGAAGTTATTGGCTTCCTCATGCTCCTGGTATAATAAAAATCAATACTAACTCTGCAATGTTGAAGGAGAATGGCATGGGGTTAAGGGCGGTTTTTAGGGATGCTGCAGGTTGTGTTCATACAGTGGTGGTGCGTAGGGAAGTCTGCAAAAGTTCAGTTGAGGTGGATGAAGTTTTTTGCTGCTAGATTGGGGTTACAAGTTGCCTTAAGTCTTGGTTATCCAAAGGTGGAACTAGAATGTGATGCTACTAATTTATCAGGTGCAATTAATTTGAAGTACTTTGGGAGGTCTGTTTTTGATATACTGGTGGAAGATATATGTAGCTTGGGGGACAATCTTGTTAGTTTTTCTTGCCATCATGTAAAAAGGAAGGGTAATATAGCAGCACACTTATGATAGACTTACTCCTTCAAATGAGGTGGAGCAATTGTTTGTAAATTCCTTTCCGTAAAGGGTCCTATCCTTGGCGGAGCCTGATGTAATCTGATTTGTGGTTAATATTATGCTCCCTTTCCCATCATTCAAAAAAAAAAGTTGTGGGGAAAACAAACACTTATCATGCCGAAAATTTTAACAAAACAAGATAGAAGACATCATAAGGTCCATCCTCAACTACATCTTGGAAAAGAAGCTTATCTCCAAATACGAAATATGTTTTATGCTACAAACTACAAGAAATGATACAAAAGCATAGAACAACAATGAAAGGCAAACACAAAGATACCTTCCTTGTGATCATTACTCGAAACTATGATCAGTTAAATTTGGAGTTTACATGAACAAATTGTAAGTAGTTAAGCAGAATATAAATGAGTAAGAATCTTCCATATCTTAACTCCTTAAGATCAACTATACGAACACTATGATTCGATTCTTAATAGTTAATTGAATCTTTTCTCAAATATTGTTTAACGTAATGACTTTTATACTCAAAGAAATAATCACAGAAATGGTAAATAAGCATTCCGTGATTAAAAAAAAAGCCAAAATTGATGGCATAATTTCTAAGACATAATACCAGCATGCTCAAAACTCTGAATTCAAGCAGTCTGCTAAACTAACTGCTACATATATCTTTGTTCTCAGAAATTGGTCACCTTTAAGAAAACTATTAAATATATCTACTTACATCAGAAAAGAATATGAGATATTTTGCAATCAGTGTCACCAAAGTCAGCATACATCTCTATTTTTATAGTTATCCCATTTAGCCGAAGAAGGTAATAGACCATTGCCTATTATGAATCATCAAATAATTATTCATTAAATATGGATTTAGTAATATCTTAAGCTCAAAACTCACAGCCAACTATAGACATTCAAGATACACAACCGAAATTTTCATCCAGAACGATGTTACATTTAGGCAGTGCTTATGTACATTACCTCCAATTCTTGAAGCCGTTTCTCCACCTTTTTAGCTTCTGATTTTCCACTTCTTTGCACTTCAAATACCACAGCTTCTCCTCTGATGACCTGTGCGTTAATATGGTCAAAACAAATCTGCTAGTTAATTGTAGTTGCGCATTTTGTTTCAATTTAAAGAAGAATCTAAAGTTTGAAAGCAATGTATATGTAAACATTTAATTAAACAACTGATTGAATATGTATACATCTGAAAATTATTAAAAATTACAATTTTTAATGAAAAATATGCATAATTCGAGTAACAATTGCAAATGGGTAACCAATTCTTTACCAATAAAAAAGTTAGAATATAATTAACCAATTCAATAACTCAATTAATTCGTTAATTCAACCAATTCTTCAACTATAATCGGAGATTATAATAATCATGCATGCAACTATCAACATACATAATAATTAAAGAAAAAAATTGGAAAAAAAAAAATTACGAGATATTTGGGCTGAATCTTGATAAATTTTCTCCAACAAACAATAGAAACGATGAATCCAAAGTCACAATACAAATTAACCCAAAACTAAATTAACAGAACTTTTTTGGCAAATTATGAAGAGTATTAATGCAATCTGCAATTCACGTCATACGCTTCAAATATATAGGAAAAAAATTGAAGAGGTAAGTAAGAAGTGGGCTGAGATGATTATATGCTAACTGAAATAAAGAAATTAGGGAATTTATTTTGTGAAGATTCAAAGTTTTTAAGCGAAAATCTGAGCATCGAATAAGGTGGTTATTGGAAACTACTTAACAAAACCGTACTAGGAGCTGATAGTGAGGACGAACATGGGGTACAGTTTCCCGAGATATTAGATTATAACTTTTGGTGAAATTTTAATTTAAGCGAGTTGTGTAAATGTGTAATTGATAGTTAGTTGACATGTTTCACTACATTCAATATAATGACGCTTTTGAGGGTCACAATATATTTTGGCTCTAAAATTAGTCAAAATGTATAAATTACGTAACAGTGGACAGAGGAAAATTATGACCCATTACAAAAGTGTCAAGGCAAAAGCGTCAAAATTTACTCTATTTTCTTGTAGTGACACACAACATCTCGCATCATTACGTGGCTTACGGGGGCAGGCTGGCGAAGCTTGCGGCACAGCAGCAGCAACAACAAGTAGCCCGCATGAGCGTGGTTTGGTGGTGCGGGAAAGCCCAAGAGGCAGCCCTGCCGTGAGCTAAAGGGATTCCCTTATGGCACCCTTATTTCCCATGGCAATGGAATTCCATGTGGCACATGCTTAGAGGAGAGAAGTTTTGCTTGGGGATCAAGGAGACCAAGTGGTCCTCCTGGTGGTCCTCACCTAACCACTCCCATGTGTGTGCCAAGTGTTGTTTGATTATTTTCCTTGCAATTTAATTTAATTTAGAATTAAAATTAATTTCTTATTTTTCTCACACTATCATTTTCTCCCACATGGAATGATGATAGGAATTTTAGAAAGCCTTTGCCTACAAATACCAACCTTAGGAGTTGGGATTATTCACTTAAGTAAGAACTCAATTAGGCATCTCCGCTTCAGTGAAAACCTATAAGTTCATTAATTACTCGAGTAATGTTTTGCTCTCATTTGGCTAACCTACAAGTAGTAGATCGGTCAAATCGAGTTGTGTAATGGACTTCGTTGTTGGTCCTTGCCATTTGTAAGGCTCGACTTTTTCATGTAAGAGCTCCATCCAGTGGAGTGAAGCACGCTACAAGGGTAATTTAGTCTTTTCTCTATTCATGTTACTTATGCATTTGGTTATATTAATTGTGAGTTTGGTTCATTCCATTCCTTGGCAACTCCACTTCATTGTTGGATGCATTATGTTGTTTTGAAAATTCCGAATCAAGATTGCTTTGCTTCAATTTCATTTTCCTCTTCATAAAAGCTCTCTTTTTATTCTTTTTCTTCTTGCTCCTTGTAGTGGACGGATTCTCACCATCAACACATTTGGAGTCATCTTCATCCTCTCTCAAGTAGAGCCCAAACCATGAAGGTATATCAATCACATCCTCACCCGTAAGCTTTGAAGGCTCCATGTTATCTTCACTAATTGTCTTGCATTCAACACTTAAGGGAACATCTCACAATTCAAATATCATGAAAATCGTTAGATGAAGACAAGAACATGCATACATTATTGAAAGGAATGGTGTCCTTCGAACAAGTGTATTATTCCGATAGAGGGTGCGAAAGTATTATAAAGCAAATCATTCAATAATGGCTAAGTGACCGGAATGCCTGGGTGTAGGCCGCTTTCGATCGGTAATATTAATAAATAATTAATATTATAGCTTAATCTTGACTGAACCATTCGGATCACACCCAAGCAACTAGCGAACTAAAGCGACGAATAAATTTGGAAGATATTAATGAGTCACCCGAGTAATTAATATTTAGACGTCGTAAATTCGAGCACCGAGCGTCAAAAGTCGGGTCAAAAATAATAAAAAGACGAGATGAGAAAAACTAATAAATCAACATATCCCCAAAAATACCCCTAGCAACGAAATGCCATAATCAAATCGAGTGCTAGGGGCATCGTGGCTAGCATGCGCACCAAACCGAGCCTATGGCTAGTTAGTGCGTACTAGCACACCTGCGCTAGCACTACTGCCGCGGCCATATGCACATAGGGCCAGTAGCAGCCCTCGGTAGCAGCCCACACATATGGTACAAGGCATGCTGGACAATGGAGCTAGCAACAACCCGCACGCTCGTGCTAGGCCTTCTGGCCGTGGGTAGCCTCGAGCGAAGGGGAAGCATAGAAGCCCACTTGGGGTGCCTTGGTGCCCAAGTGGGAGTGACATATGTCACATAACAAGAGAGGGTGAGAGGTGTGAGGTGGCGGTTTTTAGGAGAGGAGTGGGGAGCAAGTTTGGTCCCCCCCTCCTCCTCCAAATGGTCCTCACCTAACCCCTAATGTGACCTTGACACTTGTTGATTTATTAGTAGCTTGCTTATTTAATGTTATTTTAGATTTAAAATAAAATGAATAAAATCAAAATATCCCACATGGAAAGATGGTGGGAATTTTGAGAGTCTTTGCCTATAAATACCAACCTAGGTAGTTGGGAATTCTTCACTTTAGTAAGTGTTGAAAAAGTCATCACAGTGTGAAAACCTTTGAACACTAATTACTCGGGTTTTTAGGTCGGGCCTTGCTAGCTCCAAGGCATTACACCGGTTCAGTGCTTGCGTTGCGGGTGGAACTTGAAGGAGGTTGTTGTGTGAGCAGGACTTAAAGGCTTTCAAGTAAGAGCTCGTTTTAGAGAGCGAAGCACGCTACAAAGGTAATAATTACTTAGTCTTGTGTTTAAGTTAATTATGTTTATGGTTATAATTATTATCAGTTGTGTTTTGGGGTCAGGTTTCCTTCCGCGGTGGGCCGGACACACCGAAACCCAAAAGTGGTATCGGAGCCTTGCTCATTTATTTTTATAATCATAATTTTCAAGGTGTTTTTATGGCTTAATTTTTCTGGTTTTAAGTTGCTAATTAGATTAGTAGCTCGGTTTTATTAATTTTAATCCTGTATTAGAGCTGACTTCAGCTCCCGTACCTAGAAAATTCTCCCAAAAATAGTGACTTTTGGGTGGAAAAGGCGTTCTAGAAATGATTTTACCCATTTAGACTGTGTTTTAAGCCAAAATACGATTAGAAATGCACTTTTCGATGATTTTTTTTCGTTTTGACGAAAAATTTTAAGTCTTTCTAACCTTGAAAATTCATTTCATATTTATGGTGGTTATGTAATTGGCTCAGCCCTTAATTTATATGCAATTTTAAACCTCTTTAGTCATGATTACATGGTAGTAATTAATGTTTAAAAGTTTGGTTTTATTTTTCACATAATTGCAAATTAATTGCATTAAGTGTGAAATGTTTGTTCTTTGTTGCTTCCAAGTACTAAAGATTTAATCTTTAATTGTTTTAAGTGATTGAAACTTTAAGTTACTAAATTCCATGATTTTTTTATTCAACTTTTGAATTAAATCATGTATTAAGTTGATTGGAAACATAAAGTTTGAAACTTGGATAGAAATTTGTTTTATCTTCATATTCGAAGATATAATTTTTTCAAGGATTCACAAATATTAAAGTTGGAATTTTTGTTGAACTTGTGTTCATTTTTCCAACTCTCTTTTATTTTGTCAAAATCTCATGATTAATTTAATTTAATTAAGTTAATAGTGAGTGATTGTCCTTATTATTTTATTGCACCAAGTTAAACCAATTTTATTAAAGAATGGTTCTCGCAAAATAATTTTGGTTGTGTGCACTTTTTGTGAAATTTTAATTAAAGTTGGACTTGTTTAATTTTTCATTTTTTGCTCACTTAATTAGTTCTAACAATTAATTTAAAATTAATAAATTAGTCACGCAAAAACTCGGATTTTAATCCCGATAGTGTGCCACGCAAAACCAAGCAAAACCACTCGGCTAACCGGGCTGCTGTGCAGCCCGCATGTGGCTACCGAGGTGGGCTGCTTGGTGTGTGCCACATATGGTAGTGTGGTTGTGTGAGTGTGCCTAGCCACAACATCTGCACAGCAGCACGGGCCGAGCAGCAGCACGTCGTGTCCGTGCATGCATGCGGGTTGTTGTGATTTTCCATGTCAGCTCCTTCCAAGGCCTTGAGGTTAGACCGAGAATTCTTCAGTTCCTCCTCGAGCTTGGCCACCCGCTCATTCGCGACGTCATTAGCAGCTGTCAGATTCTTTATCAGCTCCTCCTGTATTAACTTTACTGCTTTAATTTTAACATCACATTGTATTTTACTGTATTCAGCAGAGTTGAGAGCTTGAACGACCCTCTGTTTAGCGTCATTTACCGCTTCTCCCTTCCGCCTGAAGGGGACCCTCAACCTGTATAACCCCAGCATCGTCTGAAAAGATGGGTACATGAGGTAAGCAGAGTAAGCTAAAAAGCTTAAGAAGTTAAGTCAAAGTAGGTGATTACCTCCGCCAGCAGGCCCTGGATATAGTCAAAATCCACGACATGGACAACAGGCACAGAGAGCTTCTCTGACCGGGTGAGAGCCCTCACCATCCTCTTAGCAAACCCCTGCATGTCAAGCGGAGCAGTGGGAGTATCTGCACCTAAAGAATTACTTGGTGAGAAAGCAGCATAGGCGGCACCCGACTCATGCCGGTTGCTCGACGAACCTTAAGACGGATTGACCTGAGTCTTGACTCGCATATAGTTAACCGGCCAAGGGAATTTTATCCTTGTCTTACCTTGGACAGGGAGCTGAGGGGCTTCTTCTTCAGCCGCTACAGAGCCGTCTGTAGCACTTGGTGGCAAGCCACCCTTCAATGCCGTTGAGCCATCCGGTAGATTGCCCTGAGCTTTCGCTCAGAGCCTTCATCACAGTCGGGGTCTTTCCGTCGGTTGTAGGTCGATCCGGCTTGGCTGAAGAGGAAGTGGGAGTGTTCTTTCTTCCCGTCTTAGACGAAATCTTGGACAGCTCATCCCCAGTGCGTTTGTTATTACCCGGATTCTTAAACAGCTTGGTAATTGAACGAGGGATAGACTTGCTTCCACCCTGCAAACAACAAAAAAAAATCAACAGAATTACAACCAAAAATTCATGAATTGAATATGGGATATACAACCAAGTAATTCAGAAGTTAGACAAAGGGGGTACAGCCGGCGACTTACCCCTCCCTTCTTAGTTTCTTTGGCCTCCAAGGCTGCCTTTCTCTCCAAGACCTGCTCTTTCCTCAATTAAGTAGCCGATTTAGCAGGCGTCTTTTCTGGGGCACCATGTTTTTCCCTTCTTCTGCAAAAACTAAAAAGAAAACAGTTGGTCAAAAGATGAACAAAAAACAAAAATCTTAATACAGACGGCAA